GAAGTCTGGCTGTTTGAACAAATCAATCTCGACAAAGCAGGACATTTCAAAACCCTGCTTACAACACCAGACATCATCACTAATTGGGAGTTCACAGCTATGTGCTTCACGCCTAACCTGGGCATCTGGATGCCAACTAGACTGAAACCGGGGATTATCACCGTCTCGCTTCCCTTCTACGTCGAATTCACTCCTCCGATGAGGGCCAAGTGCTAAGAAACCCTACACGTGTCTGTTAATGTCTTCATATTGTCGCAAACATCAACCAATAAGACTTCAGCTGGAAAGACCTGTTACGAGGTTGTCGTTTCAGTTGCAGTTGACCGCCAAGATTGGCAGCTGGTCGGCAGTTCCAACTTTACAAAACGCATGTGTCAGGGAGATTAGAAGGCCACATTCACGGTAGATCTTAAGCCGTGGAGGCTGGGGCGATTAAATGTAACAGTGGAGGCCAGGATGAAATCGGGATCAGGAGATGCTGTGAGACGTACAATTCTTGTCGTACCCGAGGGTGTAGAATCAGGGACTAACGTGGGAAGAGAGCTGTGCATTCCCGAAATGGAAAGCGACACTTCTCCCTTTTCGATCAGTGTCCACACAATCCAGGCTCAGGATGACACCATTGAATGCACTCAGCCAAAGACGACCATATGTGTACGCTTATCTGAACACGCTGTTAACACCAGGGACCCTTTGTCCGAAGACACGATTCTCCTTACCTTCGAGTCCCCCACCGGATGGAAACAGAACTGCGCAGACTTGGCACATCTGTCATATCCTGGTCTGAGCCATGCTGAATGCGATGCAAAGAAGCAGAAGTTGTTTGTCCACTATGATCCATTCACAGAAGTTGAAGCCGAGTATTTCGATGGACGTGATAAGCTGGTGCGATGTATCAGCCGAACGCTCATCCAAACGACGTTTGTCGAGCCTCTGATACCTTCTGTGATACGCGTGCAATATGAAAACGCTCCGCAGGAGAAGACAGAAGTCCACTTTAAGTTAAACACCTGCAAACGATACTGGGAATCCCGAGTTGGGCTTTGAATGACCGTGAGCGTACTCCCACCGAGTGGTTGTTTCTGTTGC